ACTCTGTCGATTGTTGAAATGGAAACAGATTCAATATTGCCAAATACTGCATTATTCTCTATGACAGCGCTTTGTATTTCTCTCAACTTTATTGCATTGTTTGCAATGACCATTGCACAAATGGCTTCCTCTTGCTGTGGGGTAAAAAGGGGCCCTCTTCCACCTCTGCAAGGTTGTCTTTCAATCCTATGTGGTACAGAGTAAAATTACAGTAAAATTTTATATACAGTACAGTAACATGAGATATGTATGAGATGGTACAGTACAGTACAGTAAATTACTGTATGCATACCTGTTTTCCCTACGGAATGTTTGAATGATTGAACTGATTGTAGTTCTTCCAATATTGGGTTGCACCCTTCGACCAGCCTCCTCCATGGTGAGGCCGTGATTGGCAACATGGTCCACAATTGTAGCCCTAATTTCATTAGGAATGTGCCTATATCTGCCTCTTCTCCCTCTTCTCCCTCTTCCCCTTCCCCTTCCTCCCTGCATCCTCACCCCTCTTCCACGATGCTGACCTACCATTTTGTGTCACAGAAGTGTAGAAATGGTACACACTAGCTCCTGCTCAGTTCATATATGCTTGCCAACTGAGGATTCACCTCCTCATGAGTGACAGCTGAAATTCACCTGTGATCAATTGTTCAATTTAGGAGATATTTCCAGGAAAAAATGATAAAGAAAGTTATAGATTTTGCTTGACAGATGACTAATATTTGACATTTGATAACTAGTTCAACTATTTTGTGTGTAATGACTCAAGTAATGAAAGTAAGACTATTAGTTTTATTGAGAACGACTATTCAGCATTAATTAATTTTGACTGGCATGACATAAGCAAATGGAAATGTCAAAAAACAGCAGAGAAATACATGAAAGCAACTGATACATGTCCAAAATCGTTTGCAGTTTGTTCAGAGAAAGGAGAAATTGCTACTATGATGTAGCCTAGTGAACTAGACCAAATTCTTGCTTTGCAAAGAATGGTCTAGGCATGCTCCATTGGAACCTCAGCAGCTCCTACCAGGACCCTGGCTAGCCAATCACAGCTCTCTAGAGGGGTTTCAAACACATAAAGAGCTGTGATTGGTCCATAATGGTGGGCCAATCATAGTGCTCTATCTGCTTAGTGAACGAATCACAGAGCTTTATCCGCTTTGTGGGCCAATCAGGGCACTCTATATGCCTGGTGGGTGGGATGATGCAACAGAGTGAAACAAGAGTATGTCACATTCTTTGTCCAGTGGAATGCGGAGATCATTTGAAAGACAACGGTAGAACCCGCCCCACAACTGAGAGCCGTCAATGGAGCGTGGCCAGACTAAATAATACATTTATTTAGTCTGGCTTGCCAGGCTAACTATGAAGTGCACAAATGACTAAATGTTGTGGAGGTTGAACTAATAGTTATGAGAATTTTAATTCTGATCTGAGAAACGCACCAAAGCGACTGAGAAAAACTGTAACGCAAACCAAATTCTTTTACATCCAGAACTCAGCTCTCCTATATATGGAAGTTCTGATAATATCGCATTCACACATAGGTTTCATACATCACATCTAGTTCCATCCACTCACAGTAAATGTTAGTTAACCTGTCATGTTTTGTTTGTAAAATAAATTCTTATTTTTATAAACCTGACTCTTTTCTGAATCAAAACGAAGTGTGTACAATCCCTTAATAAAACAAAGAATCCTAGAATCTTCTGCTTAAACACCGTAAAGACAAAGCAGGTTGATATTCTATATTTAGATAGAGTATCACAGCTTATTGGTCATGAGTAGAGGTAAGATATAATGAGCTCTTAAAGCACTCAAATCTCAAACCCTACATTTTGTTAGATCATATTACACTTGATACAGCCTCTGCTTCCACTTCAAATCAATCTCTCTGGGCTCCTTTGATCGGTTCCATCACATAGGGATGATGAGGGATCATTGATATTGTCCTGCGAGAAGATGTGAGTTTGGAGTATCCAGACGTTCCCTGGAGGTGGGTTCACTGTGGGTGTCTGGGACTGGGGGGCTGCTGCCCCCCTCTGGAGGTGCTTGTGTTGCCTCGGGGGGTGGACTACTGGCGGTTGTGATTGGGGCCCCTTGGGGGTCTTGGCGGTGGCCATGGGTCACTGCCTGGCAGCTGCATTGCCCCTGAGCAGGTCTGGGTGGGGGCCTTGGGGCTTGGGGTGTGGGGGTGGCCGGCCCCATGTGGGAATCTGGGTGGGGCCTTGGGGGTCGGGTAGAACTCATTCTACTGAAACAGCTCTTCTTAAGGTCTCTAATGACCTTCTGACTCACAGTGATGCAGGGGACTGTTCTGTTCTGGTCCTGCTGGACCTGACTGCAGCCTTTGACACTGTTGACCATCACCTGCTAATGGAGAGGCTGAGAAACTGGGTAGGCCTATCAGGAACTGCTCTGGAGTGGCTCTCCTCTTATCTTTCTGAGCGCTCCTTTTCTGTGGCCGTCTCCAAGTTTAGGTCCTCCACCACCTCCCTTACCCATGGTGTCCCACAAGGTTCTGTGCTGGGGCCTCTGCTCTTCCTCCTCTATCTGCTTCCTCTTCAGCACATCCTGAGCTCCTTCAAAGGAATATCCTACCGTATTTATGCAGATGACATCCAACTGTACATCTCCTTTAAGCCCCATGAGATGTCTAAGCTGCAGCTGTTACACATCTGCTTAGACTCTATCAAAACCTGGATGGCTGGGAGCTTTCTACAGCTGAATGAAGATAAGACTGAGATCCTCATCTGTGCCCCAGACAAGCTGGTTCCCAAAGTCAGAGACTCTCTTGGTCAGCTTGCTTCCCACACCAAACCTTCCGTCAGGAATCTTGGCATGACCTTTGACCCAGCTCTCACCTTGGATTTTCATGTCAGTTCTCTTGTTCGCTCTTCCTTCTTCCATCTCAGGAACATTGCTAAGCGGAGTCCCATTCTGTTCCGCTCTGAACTTGAGACAGTTATCCACACCTTCATCTCCTCACGCTTAGACTACTGTAACTCTCTTTTCACGTGTCTGAACAAAACCTCCCTGAACCGTCTGCAGGTGGTTCAGAACGCCTGTGCTCGGCTTCTGACCAAGTCCTCCAAACACACCCACATCACCCCGCTTCTCCTCCAGCTTCATTGGCTGCCAGTCAACTTCAGGGTTCATTTCAAGATCCTGGTTCTGGTCTATAGGGCCTTACATGGACAAGCACCATCTTACATTGGTGATCTTCTTAGTCCCTACACCCCCAGCAGATCCCTGAGGTCCAGTGATCAAAGCCTACTGGTTGTGCAGCACCAGGCTAAAGACTAAAGGTGACAGATCATTTGCTGCTGTGGCCCCCAGACTCTGGAGCTCTCTCCCTCTGAGCCTGAGATCAGTGGACTCAGTGAACTCCTTTGAAAAGCAGCTGAAGACTCACTTGTTCAAGCTGGCTTTTGTATGACCTTCTTCACCACTCTCTCTTTATTCTGCTCTCCCCACCTATTCCACCTTCCTCAGGATCCACTGATTTCCCTCTTTCCTATTCACTCTCTCTCTTTCTTAACATTTTTAAATCACAATTTTTGCTCATTTAAAATATATTTTTAACCATTTTCTAAATTCTTTTTTATATTTTTACATTTTTTGTTTTTGTGAAGCGCCTCGTGATTTCTATCTTGAGAGGCGCTATAGAAATAATATCTTCTTCTTCTTCTTCTTCTTCTTCTTCTTCTTCTTCTTCTTCTGACATGTATGCTGCCGGGAAGAAGGCGGGAACATGCGGCAGCGCCTGGCCCAGGCTCAGGAGCCTCAGGTAGACCTTGGCTCCTCTGCTGACCCATCACCGGGGAGGGGGGTGTCCCGGAGGGGGAGGACCCAACCTTACCTGGATGTCCTATGTCTTATATATTCTGGAAGCTGTGCAAATGCAGGGATGGGAGTAGATATTCTGCTGGGGTGGGCCTGGGTTGGTGCTCTCGGACACAATGAGGCTCTGTGATGCTGCTGCTTTGGGCCCTGGCAAGATGGGCTGGGGTCTTCATGTCCTGGGTGGCATTTTGGACATGAAACCGCCACTAGGTTGTGCCAAAATGACTACATGTTGTGGAGGTTGAACTAACTGTTGTGCAAAGTTTGATTCTGTTGTGAGAAATGCACCAAAGCAACTGAGAAAAACTGTAATCTTGCATTGGTGATGGTAGAGTCTGACCGCTGCACAAATCTTCTCCAGCCCATCCCAAAGGTTCTTAATGGGTTCAAAGTCAGGACTCTCTAACAACTCAACAACAATTATTGATGTTTTGAAATAATGTAATGTGCTGCATATTTGTGAGGTCTTTGTGTGTATTTTTAGTCCGTGGTGCTCTCAGAAATCACAGTAAAGCAGATTTAAATATTTAGTCAAAGAAACGAAATGTTTCTGTTTATCCGAGTGCAGAAAATGGTCTAATTTTCATGAAATGACTTTAATCTGGAATTGAAAATGTAATTGTATGTGCATGTACAACTCTTGGGTGACATTGACCTCTAGTGGTCTAGATACAATATTACAGGTAAAAAGATTTTCCTTGAAACCCTCATATCTTCATTCATACATTATTTCATTCGTACATGATCTTAAACACGTATTCTCTGGTAGGGTCAGAGCAGGTGTCTCTCTCCAGCAGTCGTCAAGTGAGAGACGAGGGACACCCTGGACAGGTCTGCTGTCCACCTCGGAGACAAACAACCAGTCACTCACTCACACCTGGGGACAGTTTAGAGTCTACAGTTAACCTGACAAGCATGTTTTGTTTTGTGGGAGGAAACTGGAGTTATTTTCTCTCATAATATGATGTAAGACTTATGTAACACAAACAAGGTTGTCCTTCCAAACAGGTTGGTCAACAACCTTCTTCTTGTTCTTGCACACAGGAAATAGCTTTTGCTTAATCTAGACACACTCACCAATTTAGATGCATAACATCAGCCAGCACGTCACATGCTATCATTTACAGCAGGCACGTAAATCATAAAGCAAGAGTGTAAAGTCTGCTTTAAATGACTTGTTTACCGGTTTCAGTTCAGTCAGAGTGGTCGTAGAGAGAAATGAAGACAAATGGACAAGAAAAGCTGAAGATGTAGGAATGTTCAAGCAAAAACCACGGGACAGTAGAGGACTTCAACTCAGTGTACATCTGGATTTTAAAAGTATGGGCAGTTTGGTGTGTTCTCTCCGCTCTCTTGGATATTCTGGAGCCAGACAACTTTCTTTGTTCCATTTGTTGCTCCTGTGGGACTCAACAAGAACTCTGACTGCTTTCAGGCGGGTACGATGGCTCAAAAGAGCTCAGAAATGTTTGTGATGTCTGTCAGTCTTTCTCTTTCATGGGTCGATGAATCATGCTTTAAAACAGGATAGCAGCTGCTGATAAACCAGGTGATCAAACAACATTTTGGTCTTTCTTTGTTTTGTCAGTGAAATATAAGAACATTTTCAGAGGACTCTAATTTTCCTCTTTTGTGTCTTATGTACACAAACAGTTATACTGGCCACTTCATTGGGTACACTTTGCTAGTACCCCCTGGGACCCCTTTTGCGTTCAGAACTGCCTTAATCCTTCCCAGCATAGATTCAACAAGATATTGGAAACATTGCTCAGAGATTTTGATCAACATAGACATGATAGCATTACACAGTTGCAGCAGATTTGTCGGCTGCACATCCATGATGCAAATCTCCCATTCCACCACATCCTATTGAGATCTGGTGACTGTGGAGGCCATTTGAGTACAGAAACCAGTCTGAGATGATTTGAGCTTTATGACAGGGTGCATCATCCTACTGGAAGTAGCCATTAGAGGATGAGTGCACTGTGATCATAGAGGGATGGACACCATAAGCAACAATTCTTAGGTAGGCTGTAGTGTTTCAACAATGTTCAATTAGTAGTAAGGGGTCCAAAGTGTGCCAAGAAAATGCCCCCCATGCCATTGCACCAGCCTGAATTGTTGATACAAGGAGGGATCCATGCTTTCATGTTGGTGATGCCATATTTTGATCCCACCATCCGAATATTGCTGCAGAAATCGAGACTCAGACCAGCAACATTTTTCCAATCATCTCTTGTCCAATTTTGGTGAGAAGATCACAAATTCATAATTTGTTGGACCACCTTAAGCTTTGATTACGACTTTGTGACGTTGTTTCAGTAAGCTTCTGCATTGTCACCAGTTTTATTTCCATCCAGTGCTGCATTAATGTGTCACCAAGATCTTGCATTGATGATGGTAGAGTCTGACCGCTGCACATCCAGCACATCCCAAATACTCTCAGTGGGGTTACGGTCTGGACTCTGTGGTGGCCAATCCATGAGTTAAAATGATGTCTCATGCTCCCTGAACCACTCTTTCACTATCTGAGCCTGATGAATCCTGACATTGTCATCTTGGAACATGCCCGTGCCATCAGGGAAGATGGAAGAACCTGGTCATTCAGGATATTCAGGTAGTCATCTGACCTCATTCTTGGAGCACATCCTGTTGCTGAACCTAGACCTGACCAACTGCAGCAAGCCCAGATCATAGCCCTTCCCCCACAGGCTTGTACAGTAGGCACTAGTACATACAGTAGGCCTCTCTTCTTACACTGATGCTCCATCACTCTGGAACAGGGTCCATCTGGACTCATCAGACTAGTTTTAATAAAGCGTCGGACAGCTCTTAACCCAGTGCAATCTCCTTAGATGTCTTATGTGATTGATGCATGCCAATGATCTGACGCTTCTCACACTGACTAATCTTATCCACAGCCAACAGATGTGTCTTTCCACATGGTTGTTTAAGAAATGAGAAGCAACTCATCGCATCAGTTGGGCTTAAATAACTTGTGTCCAGCTAAAAGATAACCACCCATGCAGTATACCTACAGTATTTAGTCGGATCCAGGTGGCTGGGCAGTGTGTGTGTGTGTGTGTGTGTGTGTGTGTGTGTGTGTGTGTGTGTGTGTGTGTGTGTGCGTGCGTGCGTGCGCGCGTGTGTGTGTGTGTGTGTGTGTGTGTAAACCACAGGCCAAAAAAGTTTAGACACACCTTCTCCTTCAATGTGTTTTCTTTATTTTCATGATCATGGCCATTTACAAAGGGACCAACAAGTGAGAAACACCTCTGGGAACTCCTTAAAGACTGTTGGAAAACCATTTCAGGTGACTACCTCTTGAAACTCATCAAGAGAATGCCAAGAGTGTGCAAAGCAATAATATGAGAAAGGGGTGACAATGTTTTCAGTTATTTCACCTTTTTTGGTTAAGTACATAACTCCACATTTGTTCATTCATAGTTTTGTTGCCTTCAGTGAGAATCTACCAATGTAAATGGTCATGAAAATAAAGAAAACACACACACACACACGCACACACACACACACACACACACACACACACACACACACACACACACATATATATATATATATATATATATATATATATATATATATATATATATATATATATATATATATATATATATATATATATATGATGACTCAAAAATATTTAATCAAACAGGCTAAGAAAGTGGTTAATAGTTGAAATATTATTTTATTTAGGTCAGTCATTCCAGATTATCGCTGCATTCTGCGTCATCGCCTGTCAGCCAATCACGTAGCGATGTTCGAGGACGACGCTCTAAAGACGTAAAGCCAGCAAACATGGCGAGGCTCCGAGGAGAGTACGGGGGTTGGCAGTCTTACCGCTTATAGCCGACAAAATAGCCTCTGCTTCGCCTGTTACAATGTGGTGGGGTTAGCTAGAGCCGCCACACGCACTGCCTTTAGACCATGTTTGCAGAGGTAAGTTGAGACACACGGTGTTACATTAATGTGTTGTTCGTGGCTGTTTAGCTGCAGACGGTTAGCTTCTCGATGCAGGTAAACACTCCGAGCCTGTGAGACGGAGCGCGAGCGGACGGAGCCGCTGAGCTTTCTGCCTGTCAGCCCGGATTACTCTGGGATTTCCAACGTTAATAAAGTAGCTTTTCATAGACGCAGCGTCAACACGGCTGCGCTCAGATCACCTGCCGATAGAGTGCATCTAGATCACGAGTAAGGTACCTGAACGCTACACACAGGTGAGCTGGGCGTTAGCTGGGTTGATGGCTGGAAGACCTAACGACAGACACCTGAAATGGATGAGATTTACCTTTTGGGGATTTTACAGCATATAGAAAAAAATATATATACTGTAGAAACTTTTATGTTTCCAGATTCTCCAGAAATTCAGCTGAAATTCAAAATATTAAGCAGTGATGCTAATTTCCCCGTTTGTGATGTCAGAGACGGGGACTTTAGGTCCACTATAGGTGCGTTTCCACTGTTTGAACTTCAGGGTAAATGTAGAGGTACCTCTCGAAATGCACGTCTCCACTTGACCAGGCCGGCCGAACAGCTGTTTTCCGGACCATTTTCAGGAACCTTCGAAGTACCTGATCAGGGGTAGGACTTGATGGAGTTGCTGAGCGGAACACTCACACAGATTGGTTGGAACTCAGTAGGGAAACACTGTGGAATTTCTCGCCAGTAACGTAATTCTCTGGGGCTTTGCTGTCTCACAGAGTGCAGTGAAAACCTGATGGTCATTTTACATAGTGCAGATGCGCTCGTCTGAATGGATTAAATTAGGGCTGCTCGATTATGGCAAAAATAATAATCACGATTATTGTGACTGAAATTGAGATCTCAATTATTTAAGATGATTTTTCAATTAATGTTGATTTTATTTGTTTTTATTCTGTCATAAAATTGCTCAGGGCACAATCAGGGCAAAAATAAATAAGAAACAAGATGATCACTAAAATAACTCCTGATTCCCAGTATAAAAAGACCAATATACCTATAGCTCATAGTCTATGACCCAAGGGCTATAGACCTTGGTTTAACTCATTTAAGTCTAACCAGTACAGACCCAAATTAGCCTGGCAAGCCAGACTAAATAAATGTATTATTTAGTCTGGCCATGCTCCATTGACGGCTCTCGGTTGTGGGGCGGGTTCTACCGTTGTCTTTCAAATGATCTCCACATTCCACTGGACAATGAATGTGACATACTCTTGTTTCACTCTGTTGCATCATCCCACCCACCAGGCATATAGAGTGCCCTGATTGGCCCACAAAGCGGATAAAGCTCTGTGATTTGTTCACTAAGCAGATAGAGCACTATGACTGGCCCACCATTATGGACCAATCACAGCTCTTTATGTGTTTGAAACCCCTTTAGAGAGCTGTGATTGGCTAGCCAGAGTCCTGGTAGGAGCTGCTGAGGTTCCAATGGAGCATGCCTAGACCATTCTTTGCAAAGCAAGAATTTGGTCTAGTTCACTAGGCTAGACCCAAATACCAATATCTTGCAAATACTGACAGCAAGAATTTTGCATTTTGGGGGCTAAGGGAAAATAGACACACACACACTCCTCTGGAAGCGTCTGTGTAATTTGTACCCTGATAGCGTCTCATCTGTAATACCAAATCTCATATATTTAAGACTTTTCAACAGGGACAGTTGATGATGAATGATCTAAATGCTTAAATTACATTTTTGTACTGCTTCGTTTTGGTCGAGCTGGGACGTTTTTAGCAATATATTTAACAAAGTAAGAATTGTCTGTTTTCAGTCAAACGGCTTGTAGGGGTGTACAATATATCGATATCGGCCGTTGTTAGTAATTTTTTTAACAAATCGTATCGGTTCGATTAATAAAACCGGGCCGATATTAACAACCAATATTTTTTCCATCTTGTCCATTTGTGTGCCTGTTTCAGAGCGTGAGGGAGGTGATGTGTGTTTGTTTAGTCATGTGAACAATGAATGAAATCATCTCAGAACCGTAAATGTGTGTGTTGTGTGTACATAATAACGTAAATTCAGCTTTAATCATTTTCATTTTATACAAAATTGCTGAATTTAGAAGAATTAATGTCAGTATATCGGTATCTACAAATATCGGTTATCGGCCTTAACAGTGATCTTTATCGGGGATCGGTATCGGCCCAAAAAGTTCATATCGGTGCATCGCTAAACGACAGGCTTGTCCTGACATCTTAAATGGAAGGCTTGACTTCAAAGTTGTTGCTCACCGTAATTACATGTTTTTGCTACTCCTCTCGCATCACACACAGGATATTTTTATGACTTTACAAGTTACTTACCAAAACATTTGCTGAAAAGAAAATGGTGTCGACACTCACCTGAGCTGCAAGTATCTCAGAAGATTTTTGATGGTTAGTGACAGTCGTGTTGATCTCTTGGCCAGCTTATTTATCTAAACAATGCTAG